TGATTCTTGAAGCCCTTGATTGTTCTAGCAAAATAATCAAGGGTTCTGCGGATTATCTTCGTGTGGACTTTCGTGAGTGCGATCCTACTTTGGATCGATTAGCGATGAATCACATGAACAGTAGACAATGAACAGTGTTTGTGTCCGAAATCAGAGATATTTGAAGGAGCGTCCAAACGTACGTAAGTATTCTAATCCTTAAATGGATTTATTTTGTACATATTTTTTTTATAAACATATAAACGGTATAATCTATACTTAGATCTAGGCAAAGAAAGGTAATTGATTTACTGATTGAATTTTTGTTTTCGCCTACGTATAGTAGATCAATTACTTACACTATTGTTGGTTTGACTCCATACCAGGCTTCATAAGTAGTTTGGCTGATCAGGGCTTTTCTGAGAAGCCTATTGATCAGGTAGACTACGGTGTTGACAACCTCTACCCAAAAACTCTTTGGCAAGTTCTTCTTAGCAACCATACACCTTGCCATCTCCATAATAGACCTATTCTTCCTCTCACTAACTACATTTTGTTGTGGAGTGTACGGCCTGCCATACTAATGTCTAATTCCAGCCTCCTTGCAAATTTATTCAAACTCTTGCGAAGTGTATTCAGTGCCATTGTCACTTCTCAAGGTTTTAATGGTTTTTCCTATTTGGTTTTCCACCAGCTACTTAAACTTCTTAAACAAACTAGCCACCTCACTTTTTTGCTTCAAAAAAATACACCCAATACATCCTGGACCAGCCATCAATAAATAATACAGAGTACCTACTTCCACTCAATTATAAAGTTTCTATAGGTCCACATACATCTGAGTGAATAAGCTGAAGTTTTCCAGCTGCTCTCTAGGACTAGTTTATGGGAAAGGGCTACCTACTAAACTTGCCAAGTTGATAAGTTAGGCATACAACCTTAGTTTCTTCAATTTTGGGCAGATTTTGGACCAATTTTTTCGTCTGAATTTCTTTAAGGCCTTGGTAATGGAAATGGCCAAATCTCTTATGCTTTTTCAAACTCATCTACCCTAGCATTATAGGCTCTAACTTCAGATTTTTCCCACTTAATAGGGAAGTTCTTTCCCACCATTTTTACCCTCATGAGTTCACACCCTTCACTGTCCAGGATTTGGCAGGTTTGGTTTTGAAAATGTGGGACATAATTCTTCTCCAACATTTGTCCTACACTAAGGAGGCTTTGACTAATTTCAGGTGCATAAAGCACATTAGTAATAAGTTTTGTACCTGTTGGTGTCTGGACAACAACATCTTTCTTTCCTTTTGCTTCCACAAACTCACCATTTCCTACTTTGATTATGGACCGATATGCATGATTCAATTTGACAAAGTTCCATAGGTTTGGTGTCATGTGGTTTGTACATCCATTGTCAATCAGCCAGCCTTTATTGCTTGTTTATGTTGCACTGTAGGAAGCTACAAATAGCTGCTTTGTCCCCTGTTCTGGTTGTTAATCACCAGTTACTTGAGCTTGCTGTTGGGACTTCTCTTTTTTTGTTCTTGTAGACCCTCTCTTACTTGCAGGCCCTGCATTGTATCCTTGGCCTAAACCAACACCTCTTCTCAGAATGGGCTTTCTTTTTGCAGTGAGAGCAAGGTGGATACTCCTTCATCCCACTTGGTTTTCCCCACTGACCATTGCTCATTTCTTTCCCTTTTTTGTCACCGGCATATCTCATATTGTTCCCTTGTGTAGACTTGCCTTTGTGAGTTGCCATCATTGCACCCTCACTAGCATCTTCTTGCCTCAAGAGCCTTCTTTGCTCTTATGCTTGCAATGCATGGACCAACTTAGTAAGAGTGATATGTGACATATCCTTTGAGTCATTAAGAGAGGAAATTTTGGACTCAAACCTTTCGGGCAAGCTTACCAAAACCTTCTCCACAACTCTCCTATCTGTCAACTCCACTCCAAGCAACCTGATTTTGTTGACTACACTCATTAGCCTGTCAACATACTCCTTCACCTTCTCAGATTCTTGCATCCTCAACATCTCAAACTCATTTCTTAGATTCAGCACCTACATATTCCTTGTAGTATCACTTCCCATGAATTCCTTTCTCAACTTGTCCCAAGCCTATTTTGCAGTTTCACATACCATTATCCTTGTGAATACAAGGTCTGTTATAGCAACATGAATGTGGGACAAGGCTCTCGGAGCTTCAGTAGCTTCTTCTTCAAAGATTTTGATCTGATTCATAGTTGGATTTGGTCCCAACTCTGTTGGTTGTCTATTCTTTCTACATATTGCTAGGGCTACAAAAAAAAAAAAAAAAAAAATCGAAAACTGAACCGAACCAAAAAATCGAACAGAAACCGGTCTGAAAAACCAGTTTCAAAAAATGAATAAACCAGTTTTTTGGTTCGGTTTACGGTTTATACCATTTTGTAATCCGGTTAACTGAAACCGGTTTAATAAACCGGTTTTCTTATAAATTTAATATAATAATATTATTTTAAATTTTAATTTTTAAAAATCTTTTACTATCTAAAATCCTAAATATCCAAATCTAAATCTAATATTAGTTTGAACTTTGAAATCCCTAACAACTACACACTACACACTTGACGTATACCTCCTCTCCTCCTCTCAAACTCACCGGTCGTCAGCCCGTCGCTGCCCTCTCCACTCTCCAAGACTCCAGTCGCTAGACTCGCTGCTGCCTTCTCCAGTCTCCAAAGGTGTAACATCTTCTTCTCAAACTTGTCTCTCCTCCTAGCGTCATCTCCTCTCAAACTCGTCGGCCGTCGCTGCCATCTCCAGTCTCCACTCTCCAAGACACCAGTCACCACCGTTGCCCTCTCCAGTCTCCAAAGGTGTAACATCTTCTTCCTAAATATCTGTTCTTTAAACTACAGGAGGTTTCTGTTTTGACTTTGGTGTTCTGTTTCCTCATATTTTTTTATGCTTATGTTGTTGTGAGATATATAAGAAAGCCAGGGATCCTCATATTTTTTTATGCTTTTGTTGTTGTGAGATAACAGGAGGTTTTTGTTTTGACTTTGCTGTTGTTTTGTTTATTTTCCTTCCAGAATTCCAGTCGGTTGAAGTCTTTCTGGACAAATTCCTGCATCTATTGGATCTCTACAGCAGTTGGTCTATCTGTATGAATGTTGACTCTTTAATGCTTTGTTTGTACTAATAAAATCTTGCCAATAATTTGCACGCTTGCTTGTGATTTTCCTGACCCAATGGAACATGCTCCATTTAATTTAATGTGTACTCTTTATCTCATCTATAAGGATCTTATAATTTAAAGTTGATATCATATTATTTATGTGTTTATTTTATTTTTCTGCAGTGACATTTTTAAAGCTGATTTCATTCCTCTTGGAGGTGATTCTGTGATTGCACTTGGCCAATTGAAGAATGCTTGAGCCTTAAAGTTGAGGGGAGATGCCTGTTTACAACTTTCACTTGTTATTTCTTAATCACTTTTGTACTTGACCATTAAAATTTAAAGGAACAGTTTGTATTTTATGATAATGTAATTGGTGATTATTAGTTATTATGCTTGGATGAGAAGAATTCAGTAGCATTAACTGGTGATTATTAGTTATTATGCTTGGATGAGAAGAATTTAGTAGCATTAATTGGTGATTAATTGGTTAAATTGTCGTGGATCTTTAGGTTTCTTGAAATTGTCATCCAAAAATAGGAATTTTTTTTATCATAACATATAAAAAAAGGCAAAAAAAAAAAAATTTATTAATAAAACCAGTTTGCAAACCAGTTAACCGGACTGCAAACCAAAAATTCGGTTCGGTTTGCAAACCGGTTAATGCAAAAACCGAACCGGTTTCGGTTTGCCATATGGCTTGAACCGAAAAACCGGTTCGGTTACAAAATGCATGTATCCGGTTTGGTTAACCAGTTTTTTGCAGCCCTACATATTGCCACAAGCCTTGGCCCTAGAGGAAAGTCTTCATTTTTACAGCCCACATGTGATAGTGTTCACCATTAAAGACTAGAGGTGACATCAAGACTGATTGAGCAGCCATCAGTTTAGGTTAAAGGTCTGAAGTAGAAAATATAAAGTCTAAAACAAAGGAGTTCTTGAGATGAGATGAATGATTGAACGTAGGAGGGAGAGATTTCAGGTTTTCTAGTATGGCTTTGATACCATTTGTAGGTGTATTGGCCAGAGAATTCTACTAAAAAGAAAGAGTAACATGGGTTGAGAGAAAGTTCTTCATTTTCATTCATTTCACTACAGATTTATACAACAAAACATTGGTCCAAAATATCCACTGTTATACCAATTTTGTAGGGATATTTACAAATTTGAAATTTAAACTAAAGTTTACAACTAGCACAAGCCTTAATCACAGCTGAATACACCTAAACACATTACTAAAAACACATCAACTTCAGCATCTCACACACGACAGAATGCAAGTAAAAAAACAGAGAGTTCTTTGGCGCCAAAAAGTTTTTCAAAACCAAACTGAATTTCAGTTACATTTCCAGCAAAATATCACTGTTTCAACAACATCAAGGCATGATATAATGAACTCTCTGTATATAAAGCCAAGGACAGCTAGAGAAATTCAATAATGCAGATTGCTTTTTCTTAGTTTTCATTTGTTGATTTGAATTAAATTGTTAAGTACTTGACCTTTGCTTAATTAGCGGGTGAATTCAGGTTATGACTTGACTTGTTAAAGATTTACTACAATTTGAAATGGTACTGCAACAATTTTTTTTTTTTTTTATCTCAAACGTGTTCCCGGGATTATATTCAACAAGCTGAGATAATTAACAATTTGATATCTAATATTTTACAAAACTGGCAATTATTTATTTATTAGGTAGAAGGCGCAAATCTATGGCTTGACTTCGCCATTTTCTTATTCAACTTGGAGAGAAAAACAAGAAGATATTAGAACATATAGTGATCTGTTCTCATCGATCCTAAACGGGCATGTAATTTAATCCTTTAGTTATCAACCTAGCTATAGAGAAATAGCTTTCAAAAATGGTTGTCATCTTATTCTTTCTTCTTCTCTTTACAAATTTTCTGGCAACAACTCAACAGGGGCATTCCAGTATAAGTCTAGACTCTTCTCTAAGTCCCACTGGAAACTCCTCCTGGCTGTCGCCTTCTGGTTTATATGGTTTCGAATTCTATCAGCGAGGAAATGGCTTTTCTTTGGGAGTTTTTATCGCAGGAATACCTCAAAAGACTGTTGTTTGGTCAGCGAATCGCGACAAACCTCCAGTTCCAGGAAATGTTACCTTGCATCTTGCGGGTGGTGGAAGTCTCATGCTACAATCAGCTGATTGCCAAGAAGCATCCATTGTAACTACTTCTGTACCTATTGCAAAAGCATCCATGTTTGATTCAGGGAATTTTGTTCTCTATAATTCTGCAGAAGGGATAATATGGCAGAGTTTTCGGAACGCCACTGATACGATATTACCAGGTCAAGGTCTCTTGGCAAGGGAAGAGCTGTACTCAAGTGTGTCAGAAACTGACCAATCGACGGGGAGCTTTCGTCTTACGATGCAAGGCGATGGAAATCTGGTGCAGTACCCAAAGGATGCTCCATATGAAGGACCATATTGTTATTATTCATCTTCTACGCCTCAAAATGGTGATAATGTCAATGTGTCACTGAACCTTGATGTTGATGGCCATCTTTACCTGCGTAATTCTACTGGCTTCATTTTAAAAGATCTTACACCAAGAGGCATTTCTACAAAGAAACATTCTATTTGATGAGAATTGACTCGGATGGGATCTTCCGATTGTATTCATTCACGTTAAATCAGAGCAATCCGTCAGCTATATGGGCTTCTTCGGCTGACAAGTGTTCCCCAAAGGGTCTTTGTGGCGTAAACAGGTATTGTGTTCAAAATGATCAAGAAATTGGGTTTGGGTGTCAATGTCTTCCAGGATTTGCATTTAGTAAAGAGGGCTGTAGAATTTCAGGAAGCTGTCAAAAGAATTTCTCGATCGAGAGTTGTGAAAGCAAGGATGGAAACATCATGTACACTATTGAGAGAGTTGCAAATACCATATGGGAGGACTCTTCATATTCCATTGTGTCATTACCAAACAATGAAGAATGTGAAAAGGCATGCTTGGAAGATTGTATATGTGTAGCTGCAATATTCAAAGATGGAAAGTGCAAAAAGCAAAAGCTTCCTCTGAGATTCGGAAGAAAACTTAATGATGAGTCAAACATAGCTCTCATCAAAGTAGGAGTTGAGGATAAAAGAAGCAAGAAAGAGCGCCGGGAAGATTTAGTAATTGTCAGTGTTTCACTTCTTATCTTTGCATTCATTATTTTTATAATTTTTGGAGTCCTTGTTTTCAGGAATCGAGTTCATGCATATAAAAGGATTACAAAAAAAATTCGGTTAGACGAGGATTTCAAACAAAATTCGGGTCTAAAATCATTTACTTACTTGGAGCTATTGAATGTGACTAACAATTTTACTGAAGAGATCGGTAGAGGAGCATTTGGGACAGTTTTCAGGGGGGAAATATCTCATAATCAGAAGGTGATAACTGTTAAGAGACTAGAAAGAGTTTCAACTGATGGAGAAAGAGAATTTCAGACTGAGATGAAAGCAATTGGGAAAACTCATCACCGGAACTTAGTCTGCCTACTTGGCGACTGCCACGAGGGGCCTAACCGGCTCTTGGTATATGAGTACATGAGCAATGGGTCACCTGCAGGTCTGCTCTTTACACCAGAAAAGCAACCAGGCTGGGATCAAAGGATGGATATTGCTCGCAACATAGCAAAAGGTCTCCTCTACCTTCACGAAGATTGTGAAACCCGGATTATCCTTTGTGATATAAAGCCTCAGAACATTCTCATAGATGAGCATAATTGTGCAAAAATATCAGACTTCGGATTGGCTAAACTTCTGAGGCCTGACCAGACTAGATCACTTACAGGGATTAGAGGAACAAGGAGATATGTTGCTCCAGAATGGCATAGAAAGCCACCTGTAACAGTCAAAGTAGATATTTACAGTTTCAGAATCGTACTATTGGAGATCATATGTTGTCGAGGATGTGTTGATTGGACCCTACCTGAGGAGGAAGCTATTCTTGAAGAATGGGTTTACCATTGTTTTCAGGCTGGTGAGCTGGAAAAAATTGTGGGTGGTGAAGAAGTTGACAAACTGCAGTTGGAAAGGATGGTTAAAGTAGGACTTTGGTGCTTCCAATACGAGCCATCACTCCGTGCTTCAATGAAAACAGTTGTATTGATGTTGGACGGCATAGCAGATATCCCATTTCCTCGAAATCCTACTTCTTTTTCTTAGTGCCATTTATAATGTTTTGTTTGCTATAATTGTAGATTTGATGAAACCTTGGTTTCCCCTGCTGCATATATTACTAGGATCTGATTTTGTAATTCTTTTAAATTCCTTTGTTCACCAATGCTACATGTGGAAACCAAAAGTAATTACATGTATATATAAAGTTTAAAGTAGGCTAAGACTTGAAAGAATTCAAATTTATGTGAATTAATCTTAGACAACTCTGATATATATTTATTTGACAAGAAGATTAATACAAGCTAGTGACTAGTGAGAACTTTCAACGTCTAATTTGCAAATTGGGCATGACTGACATTCACACTCCAACTTGAGGGGAAGTATTACATGAAAAAATTGAATGAGTAAAATTTAGGATTGAGTCAACTACAGCAACAATCAGTTGATATTGTTCCTGTGATTTCTCAACTAATTTTTCCGTTAATTCATCTGTTTACGTACAGCCTTGATTTCAGTTTTTTCCTTTTCTCATCTTCTTCTTATGTATAAATATTCAGAGTCATTAAACAACAAAGGCTCTTATTCTTTATTTTGTCATCTCTGGATAGTTAAAATCTCTAACTTTTGCCGGGCAAAATTTTTGATACCAAATCAAACAGACTTTCACATTGGCTAGAAGGACAAGAAGTTAAATAGCACCAGAATGGTCTAGGACCCCAATACAGTGAAGCAGATGTTTATAGTTACCATGTTGTGCTCCTGGAACTTGTTCGTTGCGGAAAGAAATTGATGTTTTTATAAACTGGGTTCACGAATTCTTCTTTAAGGGATGTCTATATTCCTACTTGTCCCACTTCCACCTTAGGCTAAACTCTTATCTAAATGGAGCTGGTAATTGCTGATTATAAGTTCATCCTATTTTGGTTTCAACATATGTGATGGAGGCTTTACAATATATAATGAAATATAAATCAACGGTTATGGGAAGGAAAATTTAATTCAATGGTTCAGGGATTTCACATACTTTTATTTAAAGAAAATGAAACTTCAGAGGAAAAAACCAAAGTAAAGTCAAATGGGATAAATTTCAGTGAAATTATTGTCCTTGACTTCCTTAGCTGATGGATTTTAGGTTATAAATTCACTTGATAAAGACTAAACACAATTTGAAATGGTCCTGCAAGTAAAATTTTATATCTCAAACGAGCTCCCACGATTATATTGAACATTCATTTTATAATACTTATTGACTGGAAGTGGAGACTTAAATATTTTATTTAGCCTTGTATAATATATTTGTTGAAGTGAAGACTAAAACGGTGCAGTTTTGGAGCCCAAATGAAACACTGCACTTTGATATTTGTCTATGATGAATCCTGATCATTGATCTCAAAGCTGATATGATGGTTGAGAAGCTTCATTAAGTCAACACTATAAAAAGGGGCATTGCACATTAATATATAAGCTGTGTTTTTGTCTCTGCTTGAAGAAGTTTTACATTCACGATTTTCTCTCTGTTATAGGTCTTAGATTGATCTTTGTAACTAGTGTGATTAAGTAATTTGTTAGTCGATCAGGAGGGCTTCTTTTCTCTTGTTCTTGGGGATTCCAGGTGAGTATCTCTAGGATTAGTTACTGTGAAGATTTCTTGTAATCGTTGAGAGTGTGATTGGGTTCGTACTTGTTCTTGTTGGATCTTGTTAATAAGTAGTGCAGCAAGCTCCTCTATTTCGAAAGCTCAATGTGGACGTAGCTTATCCAATTTGGATAAGTGAACCACAGTAAAATCTATGTGTTGTGATTGATTCTTGCTTTTCTTTGTGGTGTGTGTGATATATTTGATCCGTGGGTATTGTATTTAGTTACAACAGTGGTATCAGAGCTTTAGGTGTTAGGATTGATTGATTTGGTGAATCTTTCAACGAGCTAGGGTTCCTGGAAATTTCTAGGGTTTGTTGAAATTTGGGGCTTTTCAAATCAAGTCGTTCCTTGGTAATCTAGAGCCCTAGGAATACAGATTTGAGGTGTTAAATTGTCAATCGAAGGGTTCTTGGAAGAGTTAGGGTTCGTTACTCAGTAATCTTTTAGGAATCCTTTAATTGCCTCAGTCTAGGGTTTTAATTAGGGCTTCTTGAATCAGAGACAAATTAAACACAAATACTTACAATATGTCAATCATACGATTGGAAATCACACAATACGATAGAAAGATTGACTTCGGCAATTGGAAAAAGAAGATGAAGGCGCCACTTTGCCATAACAAGGTGGGGATTGCTTTGGAGAAGGACGTATCTAAATGGCTAGAGGAAAAATTGAAGAAGAAGGATGAGATCAACGAGGAGGCATAGAACCTCATAGTGATGAACCTGTCTGATAACGTCCTACAAAAGGTAGATGGGCTAGAATTTCCTCTAGCCTTATGGGGTAAACTCGAAACTTTGTACTCATTATAGTCGGCACCCAATCTTGCTTTTTTAAAGGGTGCCTTATTTTCATACAAAATGGATAGTTCAAAGTCCATTGAGGACAATCTTGATGAGTTTCTAAAGATGACCCTAATCCTTAAAGGAGTTGACCAAGAGTTAGGGGACACTAGTCTAGCGATGATCTTACTGAATTCTTTGACTGAGGAATACCAAGTAGTCAAGAATGCATTACAATATTCAGGAACTGTACCTAGCCTAGACTTGATTGTAGCTAGACTTAAAGCTAGGAAATTAGAGTTAAAAGTCCAGAAACGGTCTGGTAGTAATTTGTTTGTAAAAGATAGGCCTGAATCCAGTCAAGTAAGAAAGAATAATCAGTATCAGCAGGGGTCTAGGAACAAGAAAAGGGGAAAGGGTAACAAAGCAAAAACTGAATCAAGAAAGTGTTTTTTCTGTAACAAACCTAGGCACATTAAGAAAAACTGCTGTGAATGGTTAAAGAAACATAAATAGGGAAACATTGAGAGTAACCTGGCCTCTAGTAAAAACCAATTGGATGAACCCAAGGTCTTGACAGTGTCAACATCTGACACTGCCAAGGAGTGGGTCTTAGACTCAGGCTGCTCCTTTCATATAAGCCCACACAAGAACTGGTTTTAAAATCTAGAAACACATGAAAATGAGATAGTCTACATGGGAAACAATTAGGCCTATAGTGTTAAGCGTATAGGCAGTTTAACCCTTAGACTAATTGATGGAAAACTTGTAAAGCTGACCAGGGTTAGGTATATCCCTGATTTAAAAAGAAATCTTATCTCTTTAGGGACCCTAGATGAGGTTGGATGTTTCTATAAAGCTGGTAATGATATTTATATTCTGTGTGGTACTTTCGATTCAGAATGTTTTAATGTTGTTCTACTTTCTAGTAAACTATCTGCAACTCAAAAATGGCACCTTAGGTTAGGGCATATGAGTCAAAAGGGTATGAATATCCTTAATAGTCAGGGGGTGTTGGGTAAGGATTCAATCTCTAACCTAGAATTATATGAAAACTGTGTGTTAGGAAAACAACATAGACTGAGTTTCTCAAAGGGAACTCACCTAGCCACAAACTGCCTTGAATACCTGCACTCAGACCTTTGGGGGCCTGAAAAAGTTAAATCCCATGGTGGGAACAGTTATTTTCTATCAATAGTAAATGACTATAATAGAAAAGTCTGGATCTTTCTCCTGAAAACCAAAGATCAAGCCTTGGCCAAGTTTAAAGAGTGGAAAGTCTTAGTTGAGAACCAGCTAGGCAAGAAAGTAAAAACCCTAAGAATTGACAATGGGTTAGAGTTTTGCAATACTAAGTTTGATAATTTCTGTAGAGAGCATGACATTTTAAGGCATAGGACTTTTGCTGGGACTCCTCAACAGAATGGGGTGGCAGAAAGAATGAATAAAACCTTACTAGAAAAGATTAGGTGCCTTCTATTCATCTCAAGGCTACCAAACACATTTTCGGGGGAAACTTTAGCCACTACAGCCTACCTAGTAAATAGAAGCCCATCCATTGCCATTAATGGGAAGTGTCTTGAAGAAATATGGTCTGGGAGGAAACTAGACTTAAGCCACCTAAGAATATTTGGTTGTACAGCTTATGCACACATTGGGGGTGGGGGGAACCTTGAGCCTATATCCACCAAATGCATATTCCTTGGATATCAAGAAGACACAAAAGGGTATAGATTGTGGGATAGGGAATCTCTAGGGGTGAAAATCATAGTAAGCCAAGATGTGGTGTTTAATGAGAATGAATTCCCTTGTAAAGCCATTGCCATTGACCAAGTAACACCAAGAAACATTGAGACCTCATCCATTCCCACCGAAAGTACACAAATTGAGGTGGAGCCTATACCACATCAAACTATCCAAATCCAACCAGACCTGGACCCTTAAACTGAAGTAGAAATAGAACAACCAAAACCTTAATAACCAGAAGATGAAGCTGTAGAAGAAACCTTAGAACCCCAAACAGTGGATTTATAGCAGTACCAACTAGCAAGAGACAGAACCAGGAGAGAGGTAAGGCCACCAACAAGATATTCTTATGCATATTTAATATTTATTGCTTTGCTTGTAGGTATAGAAGTCCAAAAGACATAACCTAAAACATATGAAGATGCCATGAAGTCCAAAGACAAAGACAAGTGGAAAGTAGCAATGAGGGAAGAGATGCACTCATTAGAGGTAAACAATACTTGGACTTTGGTACCTAAACCCAAGGACCAGAAACTTATACAATGTAAATGGCTTTATAAGATAAAAGATGGAATTACAGCCTTTGACCCCACTAGGTATAAAGCCAGGCTGGTAGCCACATGCTATACCCAAAGAGAGGGAATAGACTTCAATGAAGTCTTTTCCCTAGTTGTGAAATACAAAACTATCAGACTTTTGCTTTCCATTGCTGCACACCAAAATTTAGAATTAGAACAGCTTGATGTCATCACTGCATTCCTACATGATAGCTTAGATGAGCAGATCTATATGTGTCAGCCTGTAGATTTTGTTGATTATAGGGTGCCAAATCATGTATGCCGGTTAGATAAGTCTTTGTATGGCCTCAAACAGGCC